AGAAACTTCTAGCTGAATGTTTCCAAAGCCAAGCTAACCATCTCCTTTTTCCAACCAAATCTGCCAAAGCTGTCTTTCCACCTATAACCTTTGTCTTCCATAAACGGCACCACCACCGCTTTTGTTGCACATGCCAGAAAACCCAGGAGTCATCTAGAACTCCTGCCTCTCTTTAATCTCCACATCTAGTCAATCAAAAGGTTAAACTGATTCAATCTTCTGTTAACCCTCAAATCCCTCCACTTGTTTTCATTGTTACCTAATCCATCATCTAATCCATCATCAGCTGTAGCCTAAGGTATTACAAAAAACCTCCAAACAACTGTCTTCCTAAGATATTTTCTATTAAGCAATAAGACTGAACCTTCCAAAATGCCATTCTGGTCATGTCGTGCTCCTGCTTAATTTCTTTAAGTGCCTTCAGAATCAAGTCCAGTTCTTCACCTTGGCTTACAAAGCTCACCTCAGTCTCACTCCTACATACCACTCTAGTCACCTTCTCTTTAGAATTTAAGGTTCCAGGGGTGCCTGGATGGCTCAGTCGTTAAGTGTCTGACTTCAATTCAGGTCATGATTTCGCAGTCTGTGGGTTTGAGCCCTGCATCAGGCTCTGTGCTGATAGTTCAGAACATGGAGCCTGCTTCATATTCTGTGTCTCCCTCTCTCTCTGCCCCTCCCCTGCTCATGCTCTCTCTCAAGAATAAATAAACATTTTTTAAAAATTAAAAAAAGAATTTCATGTTCCAATCATATTGGCCTTTGCTCATCAAAGAGGTAATGTTCTTTCTCATCACTTGGCCTTCAAACACATTCTATTTCTTCACACATATCTCTGCCTACTATGATCTTACTGCTTTTGTCTTAGTTCTCAGCATAACACACCTAAGGAAGGTCTCTTATCCCTGGAGCAGCTTAAGTCTTAAATGCTGAATAGTTTCCACAGCATGCTTAATTCCCCCTGTTATAACAGTTATCACACTTTACTGTAGTTATATGTTTCATGTCTAGCCCAGCAGACTATGAGCTCTATCAGAACAGGAATTATATCTCTCCCCACTATTTTGTTCTGATGCCAAGCATAAGTCTTGGTTCATTGTAACTATTCAGTAAGGATTTATTGACACGGAGAGGAGGGAGGGAAAAAAGAAAAGGAGGGAGGGAGAGAAGGCATAATGCTTAACTCAATTAGTCTTGAGTGAGTCAGGAAAAAAGAAAAGAAATGGGCAGGGAATTAATTGAGTTAATAAGCTATTTGAGACTTTTTAAAGACGTTTTCACATATGTTTCTTATAAAAACCTCAAGAAAGCTATTTTGCATTTTATAGTAAGGAAACTGAAGCTTATAAAAGAGTTGTTATAGCTCATCATGTTATATCTTCAATCTGGAAATCCATTTCCTTAATTTTGTTCACGTCCCATTTCCTTGAGATCTAGGTGAAGTACCAAGTGCGTGCAAAGCTTCTTCTTTACTCTCCATAGCCCTAATCATGTAGTTTTCTTCCTCTTCTCTAGTCCCACATCATATTTTACATAATTACCTAATGTTTATTGGCACAATGCTCCTTATACTGTACTTATTTCTGTTTGTGTTCCATTTAAATTTTTAGAAAATAAAATCTTAAAGAAATAATCCAGATCACGTTATTCATATTATCAGATTCATATGATCACCCCAGAACCTAGTAGAAAGTTAGATGTTCAATAAAATTGTGTTAAATGGAAGCCACCTCTAAGGTTTAGTCTAATCTTCTCAATCTACTATAACGGACAAGTCAACCAGAAAAGTTATTCCAGATCTACCAAAGGTCACACAGCAGTATGTAACTCTCTGCTTATTTGCGTCTCCTTTTCCCACCTTCTCCATGCAGAGAATATGGGAGGAACAGTAAACTTGGAGTTCTGGGGTCTCTGGCTAATGCCACCACTTACTGCTTGTGTAAATATCCTAGGCTTAGTTTCTGCTTAGGTAAGAATACAGATTTTGGCTGTCTTTTAATGCCAGTTCCCTGCAGTGGCTATCAAAAAGCAATCTCAGCCTTGGACAATATTAAAACATATTAATGCATTGTGGTTGCAGAAACTTGAGCTAACAACTAACACTTCTTAAAAAGTCTAATATGGAAACAAAATTAGAGTGAACTAAAATAGGCAGAAAAACTGCAAAAAAAACCTTCTCCATTTTGTTGCTAGGTATTCTCCTCACTTTATCTCCTCAAGGCTGAATAGCCTTGAGTGGCCATATATTTGCACAATGGCTTTTTAGTTGCTTCTTTTGCTCATCTTCTTTCTACAACTAATTGATTTCCAGACCTGTACTAAGGCCTGAGGCATCTTTACTTGACATCAGTTATGACCCCTATAACAGAAATGAAGAAGAATGTTATATTTCACCTAGAAAAGTACCTTTTCCTAATCTGGTATATATTTCATCCAGGAAAATTAGAATTTTCAATACTTTTTATGAAGTAAGTTTTTTTCAAAGCCTGGTTGAAATATTAAAGGAAGTGAAGCCTGCAGGTAAGAAAAGTATCAGAAATGTGTCCTTTTGTTTGGTTGGCTTGGTTTTGGGAAAACTGGAATTAGGAAAACACTACAGGAGCTATTCTAATACTGGGATCTATAATGTATTTGTCAGTCTTAAGCCAGGCTGTTGTCTAGAATCCTAAATTGTGATGCACTCCACAGGGCCAATAAAATCTAATATTAAGAGAGCCAGTCATGTACACTTTTTGTGTTGGCCTAAAAACATTTAGAATAATGACTATTGCAAGACAGGTTCTGGTACAGGTAACTGACACAAGAAACAGAATAAAATCCTAGGCAGAAAGCACCAAAGGGCAGAATGAATCCTTGGAGCAAACCAGTAGCAAAGAGAGAAACAATTATGGCAGGTAAAGATCAGTTAATAAAATTCTAAAAAGAAAGTTCTCTTTGAGAACAGATCTCTTCTGTCATATTCATACTGTATCCCCAACATCTAAGATAGTACATGGCACATTAAGATAATCAATAAAATCCTACTAAGTAAACAAATATCTCAGTCTGGATTGAAGAAAGGGAGCTATGAAAGAAGTGAGTAGCTTTGCATCCAAAGTCTGGGGATAGCAAAGTAAAAAAGACAAGAAATGAGGCCTATCAACAACCTGATTTGCTCTGGTACTTAGTGCCTTACTGGGCTGATGAACTACAATAAACTCAATTCTGAACATTTAAACTCTTTCAGACTATTAGAGAAGCCCAATGACTGGATAATGGCTGCTTCTGAGAGCCTGCCAATGTTGGATAAGAGCACTAACTTAATCCTCAGGTATTATAATATAAATGCAAGGGCTCATTAATATTTCAAAATCTTGTCAAGAGCCCTGACAGAGAGGCCCCAAATGATAATCCATATGAAACAAAACAAAACAAAACAAAATGATTAAGGCTTAAGGATTTTAAAAGCATGGAAAAAGAGAAGACTCCAGCATTGAACAGTTGGGGAAAAAGGATAGTGATTACCGTTGCTGGGTAAGATCCTAACACAGAGCCTAATAAAAGAAGTACAATGTTATTTTGAGGGTTCTCATGAGCAGATCAACAGTGATGTCCTTTTGTTAGCAAGGTTTGAAGTACACATCTACACATATACCTATTAGCAGAGAGACATGCTATATTATTATCCACTGGGCTGAATTCAGAAACTCAAAACAAAGGCTTATCCCTTGCCCAGATCCCATTGTCAAAGGAGATCCAGGAACAGGAGTATAGTTGACTTGATGCAGCAAAGCAAAAAACAGGCCCAGGAAGATATTTTTATCTTTTAATAAACAGTTTTCATTATCATTGAATGCCTACACTTTCATAAACCTGAGCTTCATAGCCCAGCATTTATAGAAAATTGCCAAGTATCGTTTGTAGATAAAAGCACAATTTAATATTTATGAATTGCTAGTTTTCTATAAATATAGACATTTGGAGATGATCTCCTCACTAGTCATTAAAATTTGAACAGGGATCAAAGCTAGAATAATATTAACAATTCCTCACATTTGTATAGTGTTTTACATAATACTATTAATAATAGATGACATTTATTGAGCACTTAGCAAGTGCCAGGCACTTTACATGTAAATTCTCATAACAAATTCAGTTTAGTTCAACAAGCATTCAATTAATACCTACTGTGTGATAGATGAATAACACTGGTTTCTGTCTTTAAAAACTCTCATCTTGTTGCATTCAATCAATGTTTGTTGAAAGAATAAATGAATGGATGAATGAAAAATTAATTGGTTTGAATGGTAGTGTGAAGTAATAAAAAATGACATAGGCTCCTCCTTTAACTATCTATGGTCTTGAGAAAGTACTTAACCTCTCGTAGCCTCTATTTTTTCATCTGTAATATGTGAATATTTAAGCTCTCCCTTGTAAAACTGTTATGACAATAGTGACAGCAAATGCTCTCAGTAAGTGAGAGCAGTTATAATCATCATCACTGCCATAATTATTACTATTACTAAGCAAGCTTATCAAACTCTCTTCACCCTTCTATAGCATGGGACAAATATAACTTTAACATCCACAAAGCACATAGCATCTATACAAAAACACCACAAACACCAAGCAAAGCAAGGGAAATCTACTAAATTGTAGTTCCCAGTGCTCTGCTGGTACAACATCTGTGTTCAGGCTAGGAAACAAAACAAAACAACATAGCATCAACTTCAATTATGTTTCCAAAGATACTATGATAAAAGACCAACAAGACAGGAAGTTCACCAAGTAACAGACTGTACCTTCCTTCATAATAGAATGCTGGTCACTCCATATATGGAACTATGTTCCCTATTCCAACATTCTCAAAGAATCGTACCTAGAGCCCAGACAATGGCCATCAAGAAACTCATCTTACTCCTGTCAATGCCAGTGAGACTAAGCACTGGCCATCCAGCATGTAAACTTTGAGATCTGGACAAATTCTCCAACCATAAGTGGGTCCCATTCTGTGGGTCACTTACCATTTGGGTCTGCTAGTAGATTTCACCATAGGGGCCATTCCATCTCTATAAAGACTCTTGGTTTTACTGAAGTTAACAATGTTGAAGATGACTCTCTGAAAGAAAGGGAAAAGTTTATCAGAAGACTATGCTATCCAAGTTCCTTTTCCTGCTAATTAGGAAGGGAAATAAGAAGCAGGGTTAAAGGAAGCCATATGGACTATTTGCCACCAGTATAGTGAGAATAAATGGTGCCCAGAGAAATACAATGTGTTTGTGCCAGTTTAGTGTAATAGTCAAGAGCACAGACTCTGTAACCTGGAAGCCTGAGTTTTAATCCCACTCTACCACTCTCAAACTGTGTGACTTTGCCAAGCTACTAAACCTTTCTATACCTCGGTTTCCTCATTGGAAAATGGAGATAATAATAGTACCTAGGATTTAAGTTAATATATGCACAGTGTTTGGAATCATTCTTTGTACATAATTAATGCTACATAAGTTTTAGCTATTATTATTAACTCTGCCTCTCTCCAGCATGACCTAGAATTTACATGGAAATGAACAACAGTATTGTTAGAGTAACAGTAGTACATTTGAAGTTCAACCAAACTAAAGATAATAATTGAGTGCAAAACTGAAGTTAAAAAATTCTGCAACTGCTCAGCACCCCTTTTACTAGACCTGGAGAACATATGTCCTCTTTTGTGCCACCTTTTGTTATCCTCTGCTGGGGCAAGTTGTACTGAGCTCAACCCTAATCTCAGCAACAACTCATAGAAGCATAGGTACTTCCCCTCTCTGGTCCTCAACTTTAAAATGGGGGAGTGGAGTGTTCTAGATGAATAAAGTCTTTCCAGAAGGATAGTCTAGTTAAAAGAGATTAGCTTTTGTTTTAGTAGTCAACTTCACTACAGGTGAAGAAGAGAGATGAGGAAAGATAAGGGAATTGGGGTTAAAAGACACTTTGTGGCTCCTGAAATAGTCCAAAAAAAAAAAAAAAAAAAAAAAAAAGAGGATGGGAACCAGAGCAAGGGCAACCAGAATAGTTGGGAAAAAAAGGAAAATTTTCAAAAGGTTACAATATGCTGGGTTTTCTATCCATAGGCAATTAAAGAGAGGGGAGCATCAAAATTACATATTATCTCACTTAGCAAACATTTATTGTGTGAGGTATTATATAATATTAAGTCCAGGAATTTTGTTCATTTTTATAAATGTTTAAATATTGTCCTATAACTATACAAAATATTAACATATCCATATTACATATGTGGGAGCTGAGCTCAGAGAGGCTAATTAACTTGTCCAAAGTCATGCAATTAACAGAAGACATGATATTTGAATCCAGGGAATAAAAAGATAAGTAAAATGTCCATTATCTCTACCCTTGAATTACTCACTAAGGTTCCAAAATTCTATAATTCTAACCAAGTCTATTTTCTCAAGTAAGGGCAGGAATAAATATAATGGTAATTTTTTAAGGCTTTAACATTTTTTCTTCTTAAAAGAGAAAATCAAAGCTATTTTCTCAGGTCTCATATTTGGGACTACCATGAAATGCTTTCTTCTATGAAATAAACTCTTAGGAATAACATGTTTTCCTTTCTCCTCAGAGACCTACCTACTGACCCCATCACCAGGCATTTCAGTTGCAGACCTCTCTTCTGTCATTAAATTAAGTCATCAAGAATGTCTAAGGCTGTTCAATTATTAATAACATGGACCTGCCTGTTGTCAGTTCAATTACTTCTCCCAGCGTCTTGGCCACTGTCTGATTTAAGAAAATCAATATCAAGGGGACAAATTGCCTTTGAATCTCACAGGGCTTATTCCCCCCTTTCTCTTCTGAGATTTTCCAAGTGTCAGATCCATTTCCGGTGAACCTGGAAGTTACACTGCACTTTCAGGATCTAGATTAATACTAAATGCAATGAAAATCCAATACATAAATAATGTTCATATGTGAAGCTGGAATAAAGAAATGAGAAAACAAAATATCTGTTGCTCATTAATATCCTACTAAGTTCCAGTAAAATTTCCTAGGTGTTTTAAATATGCTATATTATTTAAATATTCTATCCATAAACAAAAGCTGTCTATTTTAGCCCAGTTTTAGATGTGAAGAAATTGAAGCTAATAAAGGACAATAAAGACTATACTTCCTCTATGACATACCATGCAAAAAGAACACCATTCTCCTCTCAAGCTTTTTTAAAATGTTTTCTAGTCTATTTAGCAAGGCAACATGTGGCTATGAGAATCAAAGGTATTTGGAAGTAGGCAGTGCAGGAAATCTTGGCTTTCCATATTTTACACTTCAGTATCTACTATTTACCCCAATGCATCACAAGAAATGGCATCCATAAGGTAATGGTAACGACAATTATAATAATAACTAACAATTCCTGAGTACCTTCTATGTACCAAATTATTAGTTCAGCACTCATTCACACTATTTCAATATGTTTCATATTAGAATCGCCTCATTGTATGTTAGAATCATTTGGATAGCTTTTAAAAACTACTACTAATGGGGCGCCTGGGTGGCGCAGTCGGTTAAGCGTCCGACTTCAGCCAGGTCACGATCTCGCGGTCCGGGAGTTCGAGCCCCGCGTCAGGCTCTGGGCTGATGGCTCGGAGCCTGGATCCTGTTTCCGATTCTGTGTCTCCCTCTCTCTCTGCCCCACCCCCGTTCATGCTCTGTCTCTCTCTGTCCCAAAAATAAAAAAATAAAAAAAATAAAAAAACGTTAAAAAAAAAAAAAAACTACTGACTCTTGGGCCTCAACACCAATCACAATCTGATATCTGATGTATTATTTCATTTGTTTTGAGGATAATGAACTTTTTGAGACAGGGACTATTTATTTTCCTTTATTTATGGGTGAGGCAAGTAATACTGAGTGTAAGTAAATTAAAATCACATAAATAATAAGTAGTAGAGCCAGAATTTGAAGCAAGTCCATTGACTCAAAAGTAATAAGATCATGGACATTCCAGACAGATGCATCTGAACTGAAACCCAGCTCTCCACTAGTTCTGTGAGTTTGGGCAAAATAATTTTATATTGATTATTTATATCTGAAATTGGGATGATAATAGCACCCTAACAAAGTTTTATAAGAATCTGTGAGATTATATATAAATCACCCAGCACATTATACCTAGCTCATAAAAGGTACTCAATATTTATTAAGCCTTCCTCCTTATATTCAATAAAATAGGATCTTTCAGTTCATTAACAACTTCTTCCATCTTTTCTTCATTTCTTTTTCTTTCTTCTTTAATTTTTTTTAAACATTTATTTATTTTTGAGAGACAGAGAGAGACAGAGCATGAGCAGGGAAGGGGCAGAGACAGAGGGAGACACAGAATCCTAAGCAGGCTCCAGGCTCTGAGCTGTCAGCACAGAGCCTGATGCGGGGCTGGAACTCACAAACTGCGAGCAGAAACTCACATGACCTGAGCTGAAGTCTGACACTTAACTGACTGAGCCACCCAGGTGCCCCTCTTTTTCTTTCTTCTTTAGATTTAAATTTTTAATCCAGGATTCTTGTTTTAGCAATATGGTGCTTGAGATAAGAGCTTTGTAAATAGTGACCTGCAGCACACTGTTAGACTCAGACCGGATTATAGCTGTCAAGCAGCCATATGTTTGAGGCCTAGAGCTCTGTCCATTCTGACCAAGGGGCTCATGGTGTTACAGAAGAGTACAAGCTTTATTCTAGGTGTAAGCCATCGAGAGGTCCAATGTAGCTGGGTGTGTAGTGAAGAGACTGCGTGCTGTCTAGGCAGTGGATCTGATTCTCTGACTTTGCAAATATCTGATAATTTTGTCCAATCATGAGTAAATTTCCCATTTAAGGTTGTCCAAGGTAGCGCCAGGGACTATTCTAAATAGGCACGTGCATTCTGAAAATTAGTGGGTCATCACAATTTTAAAATAATTCATTATCTAACATTTATTAAAAGTTTGCTTAGATTTGAAAGTCATTTGATTTTCACATGAAATTTCAACATCGCAATTATAAGTGGAAGGAAAGGGAGAGTTGTTCAATGACTTAAATATAATTTCACATAGTTTAAATATTTGAACAGTTTTAAATTTTTTATTACTTTATTGTGTGAACACTTTCTCATTGATGGTGACTATTAAGATTTTGAAGACATTGTCACTGAAAAGTCTTGATTACAAATTGCATATATCCATTTCAGAAATAAAAACCTCATATAAAAATGATATGTTCACAGACACAAACTGATAAGTTTCAATTAAAAATTTGAAGATTTAAAAAATAAATTTAGCATTTGATTTCCACTTTAGATTTAAAATGGAGGCATTTCATTGCAAACATCCTGGCTCATGCAGATTTAAATTCTCATTTGCTGTCCTTGCATGGATGTTAAATATAAGTTCCTAGATACCAAGACCAATAAAACCTGCTTTCTGCATGTTCTCAAATATTCCTATGGTTTCTAGAAATTTGCAGAAGGTTATCTATGGCAGTATTCTCCAAAATTTTTCATGCCTAGGCACAAATAGAAAATAATATTAAGGCAGATGGAAAAAATGATATTGTGCAGAATGTTAGGGTACCTGGGGAACATTTGGTTGGAACATTTGGTTGGAAAACCATATGAAGTTTGGTGAAAAAAATAAACACACTGTGTTGAGAACATTCTTTACATAAAGAGCCTCTAATGAAGAAAAAAAAAAAAAAGAAAAAGAAAGAAAGAAACAAACAAATCCAGAGTCCAGAAAAATACACAGGTGCAGAAAGGTTATTGGTCTCGGTATCTAGGAACTTACATTTTAACATCCATGCAAGGATAGCAAATGAGAACTTAAATCTGCATGAGCCAGGATGTTTGGAATGAGATGTCTCCATAACACTACTACTCTCAAAATGATTTAGTATTCATAGAACTATGGTCTAGAAAGAAATCATTCACAGTGAGAGATGACAAAGAAGTATGCCTATCTATTTCTGGGTTTGGGGTAGAAACAAATAATTAAAAATAAAATAGGCCAGAACATATTTGGGTTCAGGTTTGAATTTATACTATAGCTTCAACTTAAGAACCCAGGTCAAGAACTTAAAATAAATTTAGTT